TGCCTGTGAATACTATTTGAATACTTTCCACACCAATCTATCGGAATTGCACTGAGATCCGCTCCTTAAATGGCTAAAAATGCTGATTTACTCGACTTTCGGAGTGGTTATTAATATTTAAACCCTGTCGCCAAAGTGAACGACATTAAAAAACATAAGAGATTAAATTTGGATCAGTGGAAGAGTGAAGCCCTGGAAAGTTTTAATAGCTGCCGTTGAGAATATGAAAGCGATTCTGAAATTTCGCACGTCATGCCTCAAAACTCACAAGACGTTTGTGTCAAAATCGACACGTAAAAACACAGAAACGAGTAAAGTTTTGTTTGCTCGTCTTCCCCCTTGTGCCTGCAGTGGGACGGTTAGTTTCCAGTCTGCTTCCGGGATAATGCGTCCCCGCTAAGTAGGAATCAATTTACTGAGAAGACTTCCTAAAAAAAAAATAAACAATTTCATTTAAATTCCCCAAATGGATTCCCCGAGCATATTTCCTCTAGTTTTTTGCACCGAGTTTAGTGAAGTGGAGGGAGAGGAGATTGATGCAAGGCAGAATGAAGAGATGAGGTTTTTATGTAGACTGATTAACGGAGGCAGGAGGAAGCCGCCGCGGTTTGCGTCGCTCGCAGGACATCCAGAGCTGTCGTGCATTTACGCTTCACTCTCAGCCTGTCTTTTTTTTTAAAATCTTCCCTTTTTAACCAGGAGACCACAAATTAAATAAAACATTTTTTTTGTGAGGTTCAAGCACAAGTTCACTTTAATCTTCTGCAGGCTGCTTGCATGCCTTTCCTGCAGCATTTCTATAACATCCTATGATTAGCAATACAGAAGACTAATGAAATCACAGCGACGTGTATGGCAGTGTTTGTCTTTTTTTTTCTCCTAATCTTCAAATCACCCCGTCTGTGTGTGTGTGTGTGTGTGTGTGTCTGCCCGCCGCCGTCCTATTGAGCAGTAATGCAGCTGCTGTGTGATTGACCTCCACTAAGCTGTCCATTAACCTTCAACACACACTCTCCTGTCTCTCATTTGGCAGAGTGCACCTGACACCGGAGCCCACCGGCTTTGTGTTTGCGCGCAAGTGTCGCGCCTGTTTGCATATGGAGCAGTTTCAACATGTGACGCGTGGATATTTTGGCAGAGAGCGATGGTGGAGGAGGGAAGAAAAAAAAAAAAAATAAATAAATCCCCAGTCAGCGCCGAGCCTGATTTGCGCCGGCACAAATGGGAGCGTCTGGATGAGTGGCAGCTCTGGCTGAGCAACAGCGGTCGGGTGGATGGGACGGGAGGTGTGGATGAGTTAGGAACCTGCCTCGTTGGTTGTGTTTTTTTTTTTTTTTAGGGTTAGCGACTGAAGCCGACAGCAAAAAGAGACTGGGGAATTACTTTCACTGATGGATGTGCTGACAGGGAATGGAAAAGTGCGACGCGAGATGTGTGCGTTTATATGTCATAACAAACACATGAAGACTGTTTGGAGAGTGTGTGTGTTTTAGCTGGTTTCTTGTATGTCTTAGCGAGGCGTATGTGTGTGTCGGTGTGACTGCGAGCAATATTGTGGTGTGCAACAAACAATCCTCCAGACTCTGCAGACTTCTCCTGGGGCCTTCTCTGGGGGAAAAAATGAATTTAAAAAAAGAGCAAAAACAATAAAAGAGAAAGTTTTTGTTGCTACCTCTATTGACTTCCCACTAGATAGTTGTCCAAAATTGATAGTTTGTGTGCATCTCTGTTTGCCTTCTTGTGTTTTACCCCCCAAAAAATGGCAGCCTGCTTCCAAAAACCAACAGACTGCAGCGTCAAAACAAAGACAAAAAAAATGCCCACAGAGAACAAACACGCTGTGAACATCAGCCTTTTAAGACCAGATATGATTTCCTCAGCCTCTGCTGGTGCAGGTAGATCAGTTTAGTTTTATGGCAAATCAATTAAAGCAAGTCCAAAACAGAGTTGCTCTCAGATGTGTCTGAACGGCGTCCAAATGTGTTCTCCAAGAAAGGCTCGGTTTTAATTGCAAGTGATGACAAATACATGTAAGAAACAGGCTGACTAATGAAGAGAGCATCTGTTTGCTAAAACATTTACAAGTCTCTCCTCTTTGTAAGATTCAAGCGGGGAGTTTTAGTCTTGACCTTTGGGAACAGGATGTGGAACAAAATAAGAACAAAAATACAGGCTTGTAGGAAGTTTCAGTCGCATCTCACGGCCTTCTTAAGTGCCTCAAGTGTTGTGTTTTGACAGAAATGTGGAACAAGTTTCATAACATTAGGGTCCAGTTACCTGAACAGTCTTCATTGGTGGATGGACTTCACTGCACGTTGTCTTTTTAATCGAGGTGCAATCAAAAAGTTTCAAAACCGTGCCCATGACAGTCAAAAAACACACTCTATTTGAATTTGCCCTTCATCCGAGTTAAACTAGTCACCTCGAGGAACCATACATTGCTCCCAGTGCCCCTGCAACACTTACACTGCATCATGGAAGTCTTGGGTAAGAGGAAGACGTCAAAGGAAGCCAAATCACTGCATTGCAGCACCCAAATATGACACAGTTTAAGTAGTTTGTGTTGACCCTCAGGCGCCTCAGGATGTTCAGTAAAACTTGATGATCTAATACCAGCAAATTGATTCATGTTGCACCATTAAGTAAAAGAAAGAAGCATCCTGCTGGTGCTCCTGACCTGATGGGCCTTCTCCAGTTTTGGAGTTATTTGGGTCTTCCACTGTGAAAACTACTGTTTCTTCTCTTGGTGGTAGCTGCAGACCCACCTCTAGGTTGGTTTATCCCGACACAGAACATGCTCGTTCGGGATGAGCCCGACCAGATTCGATCATCGGAGATCGCTGGATGATGTGTTTCTGTCCAACTTAATCCCGACTTGCTCTGACGGCATGCAAACCCAGGCGATGATCACATCATGAGATGAAGGTGGCTCTTGTTTATATGTTGACTCAGCAATGTGACGTTTGATGGGAACTTTTCATTTTGTTTGATTTACAGAGAGTCTGTGAACATAATATGTGTGATTGATGGTGATTGAGCCTGAATACATTCAAGTTACAGAGCTTAAACTGCATCCAATATATACTTCTAGTCTATTGTATATTAACACTAGAATGATTTCATTCTTGAAGTATTAGGCAACCCTAAGACTTCTGGTAAGGGATCAGAGAAATCGTGAATGAGAACCCACCAGTTGCCTCAAAAGCATGTTTAGCTCAGGTCCTGCTGTTGATTGCATCGTGTCCTGTGGTCTCTTCACTCGTGACGGTTTCGGTTCCCACATGTTGTTTGTGCGTGACCATGAACAGTCTTGAAACTTTTCGATTGCACCACCCCAACAGTGTTTCACTTGGCCTGTCCCATAGAGGAACATTTGGCAGAGCTCATCCATTCATAGATGTGTCATGTTTAAAATGTAAAAAGGACCCTTTTGTAGGTTTAACAGTCAGACAAACCAGCTTTTTGTCACAGGGACTTGTTTTTTTTAGGGCCTGCAGTCATGTTTGAGTTCAGTTTTGAAGATCCGTGAATATTTTAGAAGCCTTGGTCTCAGCTCTCGCTTTTAATAGACATTATATTTGTTGTTCACTTTGGAGTTGACTTTCTCCTCATTGCATAAGCCTGACTGCACAGCGAGGATACACTCTTTCACAAATGCATGCTCGCATATACTGTCTGACAAACACATCCCCCCTCTCTCACCGCCAACACACACACACACACACACTCAGAAAGGTAGCTCCCCTAAGAGGCAGAACGCATTTGGTCAAGCAGCACAAAGTTTTCTTTGCAAAGTGAAGTGTGCCATTTACAGACTGCGCGTAATCCCAGGTGGTGCAGTTTGGTTTGTGATTGAACTTGGCTAACGAACTCAAAGGTTTTAGAACAAGTTTCAAAATAAAGTCTCATTAAATAGTACTGACACAAATAAATAAGAGAGAGGCAGGCAACATAAAACATCACGCGCTTTCAAACACCAAGAAGACAGTCTTCCTGAATATCTGAAGAGCTGAATTAATGAGTTCCACGTGAAACCTACAAGCGTGTCTGTGAGCACGTATATTAGCAAAAGACAGGTGTATTAGTGGGGAGGCTGTTACCAGTTGCTTTTTATCTGGGCGTATACCGGCAATGCTACGAGCAAACGTTTGTAGTACGTTTCGGAAACCGTCAAAAGTGTGAAATTCAAGTTATTTTTTGCAGACAAACTCATTATAAGGCCGGTTTTATTGTTGTATTTGATAATATGAAGATGTTTTCTCCATTTCTAATGAAAACACAGGAGATGTGACATTTAAAGGAATAGTTTTTATGCTGAGAGGAAGATGAGAATTTCAAATAGCACTGATGTATCTGTTTGGTAAATATTAACTGGGAATGCTTTAGCTCACATGCTTAGCTTAGCATAAAAACATTAACGTGTCGTTTTTGTTGAATTTGCACAAAAAATGATGCTTGAAGACATTTTACAAACACTTTATTGCTAAAAATAAGTTTGTCACATAACTACCTGTAAAACAAAACCTTATTTTTCCGCTATATTACATTATTTAGTGAACTGTGGAGGTTTTTTACCTCCAGAAAGAGCCGGGCTAGCTGTTTCCTCGTCTTCCAGGCTTTAAAGCAAGCTAAGCTAACCGGCTTCTTGTTGTAGTTTCATCTTAAATCTACACACACGAGAGAATCTGTCTTTTCATTTATTTCTCTGCAAGAAAGGAAATCCGAATATGTCTCATCTCATCTCAGCTTCAGTTTGAAACTGAACTCTCGGGGCTTCGTGTTCGATCCAAAACTTCAAGTGATGTATTTCTTAAGACCCAAGAAGACGATAAACAGAAACATGATTTTTAACAGACGCTATGAAAAACAACAGGGTAACTATAATTAAACACAAGTGTTTTTTTTTAAAACTTTCAACTCTGAAAAAGCAAACATCTCATGTCGATTTTCCATTTTTTTCTGCTTTTCCGTTTCATTTCTCGTCTCTCTGCCTCCATCAGGGTTACCTGCCAGCCAACGCAGAAAGGCGGGATAGCGTTCTACAGAGGAAGCGACAAGAATACTTCGGCTTCATCCAGCAATACTACGACTCTCGCAACGACGAACACCACCAAGACACGTACAGACAGGTATACGCTCCCAGAGTCTGCTCACACATTCACGGCACAGTTCGCTTTGAATTCATTCATTTATTTAACACCTGTCCCGTCTGAATCCCAGAACTGGAAGAGCTGAATAAAAGACGAACAACAAAAGAGCCCCCCTTTCCAATTACAAGAACAGCATCCCTTTTGCTAATGTATTACCTCAGCACAAATCCAGGGCGCAAAGTTATGTATGTTTGTGTGGATAGAGGGAGTGTGTTCTGACAGAATTTCGCCCTGCAGTCAGGATTACTGGAGCCAGTTATCTGGCAAAAAGGCCTTTCTGGGCTTTTTTTTCTTCTTCCCCCAGTTGTATTCTTTCCTCTGTCTCCCTCATGTACTCGTAGGATTGTCTGTCCGTCTGTCTGTTGACCTGAGGGTGATGTGGTCAAGCTTTGCTCACGTAGTACAGACCACCAGCTTTAGAGAAGCTGCATTAAATGAACACCTCTATTTGGTTTTGAAAATATCATCTCCCTCCCTCTGTTTATCCGCCTCTCTCTCTCTCTCTCTTCCCCCCTCCTGCTTACTCTTTTATTTCAACACTCGACTACTTCCCATTCATTTCAAGCCGATAAGAAACATCAAAGTGGGCTGTCGATACCAAAAAACACACACTTCTCATATTCCGTCCAATTTCCCATTGATCTCTCCTACACTGTGCCAGAAAGCTGGCATACTTTGTTTTGATGATTGTTTGGATCACGTCTTCAGGCCTCCTTTTCTGCCAGATTCGGCTCGTTCCAAAGTGAGCACTGATTTCTAGTGAATATTTGTTTTATTTTTTGCTGCGTGGCTGATTATGTGTGTTTATACATATGTTGCTTTGGCACTCGAATTGTGCATGACGTTGGAGGGGGGGGAGGTTATTTCTGTTCTTTGTTTACGCGTTTAAGTGGCTGTGGATTACATTTACATACATGTAGCTATGTGTGTGTCGTGTTTGTATTAGATAGTCCATCATCCGTTCTCCATATCCATCTGTCGCCATAGTTTCTACCTCTCGTTGCGTCCTTCCATCTGTCTCTTTTATGTATTTGTTTGTGTCGTTGGTAAGTTGCCCAAAACAGCCTGTGTATATGTGCACACATATGCATATGGATGTAGCCATTGTAGAAGTCCCAGCTTGCACCGCGAGCTTTTTGAAGTGCCGCTGCAGTTTTCGTCGATCCCAAGAGAAGGCGATATAAAAAAAATTCCAGCTTTTTTTCTTGTCTTTACGCAATCAGAACATAGAAGAAGTGTTGCGGCAGCAGGTTGAACAAAAGAGTTTAAAGTTTAACTCAAAATAGTTCCATTGCTGCAGCTGCATTTCTCAACCACTAGAGGGCAGTAATACAAACCCTAGTTATGTTATCGGCTTATCCAGTTTAGAAAAACTTAACTTGAACCCTTAACTGGCGCTCCCTACAGTTTTATATGAGGTAGTCAGAAGCAGTATCATCAGTAATTAATCATTTTAATCGATGTTTAATAAAACCCAAGAGAGAAAAGAAGGTATGTTTTGAATGTCAACACCTCGCTTTGAATTTATTTATCGAGACACATATGTGATGATTTTAATGTTAACACAGCAATAGTTTACATGCAAATAAGTAAATAAATTCATAACAAACAAGGTGATAATCTCACCTAGATATGTGTTAGATAAACAAATGCAGCTGCATTTGACATTTTCATGATGTACTTTTGTGGTGGTTTTTATTTACTCTGTTTTAAGTGAATCTGTTCAACATTCTATTGAACAATTTTGTCAACAAAGTGTCTGTCACCAGGATGTGTTGGAGCTCAACCATATGGACCAGCAGATCAAAAACATGAACAGAATGCTGTTGAAATTTGCATAGAATCTAAAGGCGTTGCCTAGAGAATAGTTATTTCCCAGTGAGATCTGCATGAGAAACACTGCAGAGTTTTTCCCTGCACTTGAGTGTGTTTTTCAGTCTTGTTGTAGTTGTGGCCATTCTGACTTCGGGAGTCATGCTACTGTTCAATCAGCCCTTCTAACTTGACAGTTTGCGACTGTAGCAAGTAAACCAACATCATCAACCTCCTAAACTTCACCATATAAACCTGTCAGAAATCACACCACATGCGTCTTGTGCTTCTCACAAATGTCATGGGGACGTAGACCTGCACACCTGGTACACCTGAACAACACGTGGTACCTCAGAGGAAACTGATTGTTTGGAGATGGGTTCAAAATGAAGACGGAAACAAATGAAAACTAACAAACAATGCATGAGTGACCCCAATGTTTTTTGTCTACACACAGTCTGTGGAGGTATAATTCCAACCTAAACTTGATGAAGAGTAAGTCATGAATGAGTCAGAATGGCCACAACCAGAAGGATATGAAAAATACCCGAAGCTTCCCTGTGTTTTGACTGTGCTCCTTGAGATGCAGCATGTCGAACACAGGGCCATGTCAGGGACTTTTACATCGGTTCTCTTGAGTATAAATGTGTGTGTATGTGTGTGTGTGTGTGTCTAACACATTTTTCTCCCATGTTGCTGTCAGATCCACATAGACATTCCTAGGATGAGCCCTGAATCTTTGGTGCTGCAGCCAAAGGTGACAGAGGTAAGGTGTACAGAGGGGACAGGACTGTGGATACAGCTCAATCCCCAGTCCTGTCAGTAACCAGCCGCACACTCTCACAAAACAGTCCGGACTATTTCAGTTGGCTTGGCTCCAGCTGCCGCCCTGCATCCGTCTGGCTCCCCTCTGACGAATCTATCCGCCTGTCGTATTGTTCATCTGCGGGGTGGACAATCTGAAATGGTGTAAACGTGGTCTCGCTTGCAAAAGCACACACAGTTTTAGTCGCAAGCACATATTATCGCAGATACGTCTCAACATTCACTGACGCTCACACACACACACACACTTGCACTCAAGACCACAGCTGCCATCCATTTCAGACCACCGACACCCCAGTCCGACTTCAATCAAGGACACCAATCCACTAACTGTTGCTCTCGCTCTCTGTTTCTGTCACTGTCTGTGATGGCCAGATCTGTGCTAACCTGCCCGTTGCTTCAGTGTTTGTCTTTTTTTTTTTTCTCTCTCTCTCTTTCTCTCTCTGCAGATACACATTGACATACCGAGAACTAATCCTCTTATTCCTCTCTTTCAACAAGCTTCTGTTCAAGAGGTGAGACCCCCTCAAGCTGCACACACACCACCTCACCTAGCAGGGTTTTCTCTTCTGATTTTAGGCAGATTAATGTAGGACACACTGAGATATAAGTATGTAGGACAGTTAAAAATAAGTAAGAAATGAGGATTGCTGAAATCATATAAGTTGGTTCAAAAACGTTAGCGATGATAGCATGTGACACGCCAAGGCCGATTCATGATTTCTGTGTTCGCTGGGGTATATTTGATATAAATTTTGTATTCCATCCAGGTCTGAAAGGGTCTACGCAAGGGTGCTAAGTTCATATACCTCTGTCGACATCTTTTATTTAATCTTTATAGAGTTTTAAGTAAAGTAGTTGCTGTCGGACTTTGAAGGTGCTTTGATTTTTTTCCGTGCTTTTCATTGACGGCGCCCAAACACTGTGCAAAGTTCTAAATTCTAGGCATCTCCTGATCACGTTTTCTCCCCCCCGATCCGATCCGAGTCATTTAATATTTAGCATCTGCCAATACAGACTCCCAATCTGATGTAGTTTTCCGAGATAAGACACTCTCGAGATACATTAAAATGATTAAAATCAATCGAGTGTACGTGCTTGACCGCTAAATAACTCTGCAATGTGTAAAGAAAAAATATTGCATTCTTGCATAAAAAACTGTTGTTAAATGTTGATTAGTTGTAGTTCCTGGTTGCACCACCAAGTGGAGTCGAAACCGTGCCATGTTGGCAAGCAGAGAGCATTACGGGGGTTTGGCTAGTAAAGGGCCACCATGACAGAGACTTCTGCGACATATAACGGCTTCTGGTTAAAGTGTTTAAGAGAAGCTGGTATCAACAAGGACAGTGTTTGTTTGTCTCAGTGGCATATGAAGCACAGCCACTTTTGAAATCATGTGTTTGTAGATTAAACTAGCAATATCAAAACTAGAAAAACAATTGATTTGATATCAGTGAACATTATTGATTGATAACGAAGCGATTGCTGATTGAGAAAAATATTTAAAGTTTGCAACCCTATAGAGATAAAAACGCCTCGATCGGCTTCAATCGGGACATTCCAAATTAAATCAACTTTATTTATAGAGCGCTTTAGAACAGCCACAGCTGAAACATCAAAACAACAAAACAGCAAAACAAACCAACAATAAAAACAGCATCGAACAAATAAAAACAACTAAAACAGAGGAAGGTCTCATACTGGGTTAAAAGCCAGTGAATAAAAGTGGGTTTTAAGCTTGGTTCTAAAAGCAGACAGTGAGGAGGTCTGCCTGATGCACAAAGGTAGGTCCAACTAAATTCTCAAGGAATTTTGTGCAGTGTTTTTCCAGGAATAATCACATTGACACTGAGCTACAGCCGGAAAAAACGCAGAAGTCACAACCAGATGTGGGTTTTTGTTTGTCCGGTATGAGAGGCAACGTGACCTTAACATGAAAAAAAGAAGCCCTGGCTGCTTCTAAAGTCGCCGCTGGACTGTGCACAGGGACACAGAAACCATGAACTGGCCTTTGGTATAGTTGTAACTGTAAAAATTTCAGATGAAACTGTGGCACAAAGATAGTTTTCATACAGAGACAAGATGTCTGCCTTTGAGTTTGAAACGGGAAAACCCTCGCTTCAGCACACTGCATGTTCTGGTATGGGGGCACACACACACACACACAGAAGCACAAACTAAGAACACACTTAAAAATCAATTCAGTTAAATAAATAACTCCTTCAGTCATGCATGGGATCGAATACCCCTGTACTTTAACTCTGCATGGTTGGCACTCTCACATCTTTTGTTCTGCTTTGTTTGTGCTTCTGAACCAAGCGTTTTTGTTGTTGTTGTTGTTTACTGTGAAGACATAATTATCTGAAAAAGCATTAGCTTTGATAAAACACTTGCCACTGACAGATGGGCACATCACAAAGGCACACATTACCTAAGTTCCTTAACTATGAAGCCAAACTGTTATGTTTTGCAATAAAAAAAAAATAACTGTGTGTAAGATGTTGGCTCAGCAGATCTGAGGGAGCATCCCAACACAACTTAACATGGAAATTAACCTGATTCCACTCATTTATTCGAGGTTAAGCTTATCTTATTATTCCCCGTGCTTGTGGGAGGGCCTGTCATACATGGACTGAAAACACACCGACAGAAAAATCCCGTAATGAGGTGGAGGCTAATGAGGTAGCCGAGGCTCTCGGCTGCTCTGTGTGTACACCTGCGCACAGGTGAGAGCAGGGCAGCAATAATGCATGGATGTGTGTACAAAAGAAGGGAGAACGAGGAGACACGCTGGCATTCGGCATGTACAAGCACTTTAATCCGCTGCCCCCCAAGCTAGGCCACCTCCCATCGCCCCTGTTTTGTGCAGAATACAACTCGAGGCCGTAAAGGAGGTTAAAATGAGATCGAACAAAGACTCTTCTTGTATAGAACATTTGTATTTTCTCCCCGTCTCTTAGAACTCGTGTTTTCCGCCTTCTCATCCCCAAACGCCAGCTCTCGCCTTTTTTGTTTTTTTGCGTGCAAAAATAAAAGCGTGTATTGAAATATTCAAGCAGCTTCTCCAAAGGGGCCTCCCCTCCAAAACCCCTCTTTTTTTAACATATTTTTTTATACGCTTATGTTTGCTGCCGTGCCACCTGAAAAATCACCTCTGCTTCATTTCATTCGCTTGTTTGTCTCTGCACACCCTCCTCTCCCCTCCCTCAGGGCTCTAGAGAGTTAGTCAACATAGAAGGCAGTCAACAGTCTGTTGCATTTCGGGGATATAGGGATATTGAAGCAATTCCACAGTGATTTCTAAGTAGCGGCGTCTAAATGTGGGAGTTTTACTTCCTTTAGAGAGCAATACGGTCTCAAGGAGCAGCTACAATTACCCGACGCGAAAAGAAACATTCACATTTGCTTTCAAATTTCCAGATTTATCAGTCGACAAGTGTTCTTTTTATCATTTTCAAACGAACATCTTGTGAGCAGCATCAGTTTATTGCGATTGTTGATGAATTTGAGCAATCGAGCTCTCATGTTTTTAGACTTGACACCATTTCTTGTAACAATTTCCTCTGCTCCCTTTTGAGATTATTCTTATCTGGGGCTTGGGGGGATCTAACAGGATGGAGCCTTTTGACACGGGAGGCACAAGGAAAGCCGATTTCCTGTCCTAGAGATGCACCGAGAAGAATTTCAAATTAACATTCTCACAAGAATTTGCAAGACGCTGTGTTTTTTTTTTTTTTCTTAAAGTCTTTTGAGGACTCCGTGAACTCCAGTTAAACCTGAAGGAAACACAGTTTGGTTAGAATTTGATGTCTCCGCGTCTTTGTGTTTCCTCCCTTCGCGCGCACACAAATATATGCCCACAAGAAAGCCCGGTGTGGGCAGGACGGCGTCAGCTGCAAGCGGAGTCGCCGGTGTGAAATGTGCACGTCAGCTTTTGAGGTTGCATGAAAAGAAAAGTCCCATTACCCACTCCCCCTGCTATCGCCGTCCCCGTTTGATGGATGCAGCTTTGATAAGGGAAACGAGGAGGTGTGGAGGCAGGTAAAGGAGAAACGTCGAGAGGAGAGTTGCATCTTACCTCCTTCTGTCTTAACATTGATGGAATTACTCTGGATGAATATGCCAGGTTTTGCAACAACAACAACAACAACAACAAAAAAAAACGTGACCATGTTGTAGTCTGTAAACAATGAGATATGAGGCTATTTAGAAAGTGACAGAAACATGACAAATCCCAGAAAAGTAAGAGATGGGTGTGGCGCATCAAGGTGTAGGTGAGAGTGTTCAGGGGAAAATTCCATTTGCACGGCAGAAAAAAACCAAAAAACAAAGCCTCGTCTAATTCACCGTTGCTGACAGCATTAAACAGCCGTCCATAACGAAGATGGAAGTGTCTGCCTTGCAAAAACAACACAAAAAAAACCATGTTGAGAAATAGGGAAAGGGAGGAGGAGGAGACAAGATGAGATGAAGTGAGTGAGAAGAGAACAGAGGGAGGGAATCAAGCAATGGAATAAAGTTCAAAGTGATTTTTTTTTTAAGCACAAAAAAGGCAGCTGAGGATATAAAGAGTGAGATGTTGCTCATTGATGAAAGAAAAAAAAAGAAAAAAGGTTCCACTTAAATTTAGACAGTGCTCATCCATTTCAATAATGCCCACCAGCCTTAGTTCATCTTAGATCGTTTTTTTTTTATATTCAGGACGTGGAGAACAATAGACAGTTTATAAATAGTGTTTTTGTACTTTTTAAAAACAGATTTACGGTTCGTTAGGCAGCAATTATCAGGTTAACTAAAGGTGAAGCCATTTATGTGCTAAACGCTATGAAGGGGAGCAGTGGCTTAAAACAGGCACACAAATATGAACATACCCAAAACTCTGGGTTTACACACTGTATGTGGTGGAGACTCTTCCTGAGCTCGTCATATTTGACAGCAAATTTTGTTTCCCACCGTCTTTTCATGACTTTATTTCCTTTGGAACATTAGAACCTGTTACAGGAGCCTTCACAGCCTCCTGATCAAACAGTTCTACCTCTGAAAGACTGAAAACACTTGCTAGCTTGTCAACATTAAGGCCACAAAAAAGGCTGATTAAATAACTGTTCTAATATATGACCACATGTACAATTCTTATTTTCAGAAAGTTGTGCCATTCCACACTACAGGAGATCTGGTTTAAAGTTCAGGTCATACAGATAGAATCAAAGTTCTTGATCTCAAACTGAGTTACAAAAGAAGAACTATGTAGTTGTCAGTCATTTCTTCTTTTTTTAAAAAACAACTTAAAAAAAACCCTTTTTATCCCAAAAGCCATGAATGTGTCAGAAAGACATGTTTTTAAAAACGTACAAATGAAAAAATACCAAAATTTCCCGATTTGTCACAGCTGGAAACGCTAAAAACTGTAAGAATTGTCAGTTTTTTATCGTTCTGACAGTCCCTGAGCTAATTTCCATCAGAGAATGTAACCAAATCGATGCTTAAATGTGTTATTTTTCATCAAAATCATTTTATTGTACATGGCGCATTTAAAAAAAAAAAAATCACCAGAAATGAATGGTTTACACCAGAATCTGTAAAAATGGTTGAACTGCAGGCTGTGCAAAGCAGGTAGGAGACGAGTATGTAAACAACATAGAATATAAATAGTAAAATATCCGTAGTGTGTAGAGCCACAGTTTTGTTCCTAATGTTGGTGGACATCTGTGTGCACTTGGACACATGTTGTAGAAATCGATTCCAGGTTTTGTCAGTTTTTGTAAAATAAATAAACAAAGAACTGTGGCTAGAACCATCAAATATAAAAACTACCACTAACAACTACCAATAAACATGCGTTTTATTGCACCACACTGGAACTAAAAAGAAACTTGGCCTACAATGGGAGAGAAAACCCTGATTACATTTACCTCAAGTAAAACTTTAAATGTTTTTGTGATTAATTTATTCGTATAAAGTCAATATTAAAAAGCGTCAAGGTCTGGAGAAGAACACACGTTAAAGATGGAAAAAGTTGTAAACAAACAAAAGTTATTTCATTGTGAACTTTTTAAAAATGCATTTCCTTCCTCATAGAAGTCGAGTTTTTATTAATGTAAATCCTGCGTTGTTTAATTGATGATTCCTCATCTTCCGTCTTCTTCATGCTTGTGTCGTCGACACTTTGTCGCTCTTCTTTGCTCCGTGTGAAATTTCTAGAACAGTCCAATTACTGCAATCAAATTACCTTAAATGTTCACATCCACGTGTGCATTGTGCTGCCGTAGCTTAGCAGGCGCCCGTTCTTACTTTTTCCCCTCCGGCACGCCTGAAATAATTCCGATTCCTCCCCGCTGCTTTTACCCGCAATTCGCTCGCTTTCTAAAATGTACGCTTTTATGACCGAAGCCTGCAATTCTAACCAGCGTGACGCCTCGCATTGTGGTATTCGTCGCCATATAGAGGGCTGTGACAGAATACCAGCCTGAATATGTGTTAATATGAGTGTAGGGTTGATTCTTAAAATCAAAAATGCAGAAATACTGTAGAGATTTATTTGTTTTTTTGTTGGCTTATCTCTTGTGTTCTTGTCTACCAGCTGCTGTTCTGACACTGTGACTCTGTTTGTATGTTTGCAAGATTTTCGAGCGGATCCTGTTTATCTGGGCCATCCGCCATCCCGCCAGCGGCTACGTGCAGGGCATCAACGACCTGGTCACGCCGTTCTTTGTCGTCTACGTCTTTGAGTACATTGGTGAGTAGCATCCCTTCCTCTCTCTTGCTCTTTTTTTTTTTTCCCCCTCCCTTTTCACTCTCGCTTTTTTAAAACTCCCTCATCCTTTATGCTTTTGAAGTGAGGAGCAGTCACGTCTGCTCAAAGTGCTGCTCCACACAGTGCAGAGTGGCACCTTTGTAGCTGGCAGGACTCAGGGTTTACTCGCCGGTTCACCACCACAGGTCGCAGGAAATCAACCCACGGGACCCCCTCGGGACATCCTCTCTTTTCACAACTCTGCGGCCATTGAGCGTTCTCCTCAGTTTGTGTTCCGATGTGCTTTTAAGCTCCGTCCATCAGAAGCGCTCTGGTTTATGACTGGATTGTGTTTGTGCATGTGAGTGAGAGTGCGTGGCATTGGTGGCCGTCTGTGCGTGTTTCTTGCACATCACGGTGTTTCCTCCTGCGTTGCTCCACATTTGTTTAATTTCACTCTGACACTTAAAATATAAAGAAGGAACTCCTTTGAAAACAAAGCATGAATGCAGTTGGAAGAGCGATGAAGATGGTCAATATGGCAGCGATTTGATTGTGTTGGAACTACTTAGAACAGGGGTGGGCAACCCGTGGCTCTTTCATACCTCTGCTGCGGCTCCTTGTGGTCTTGGAAAATTAATAATAAGCATTTAATTTAACTTTATTTTATTTTAGTTTGTTAGTTTTTAAAATGTAATTCTAAATTTGAAGATTTTGGTGATCTTATACCATTAAAATAAAACGGGTTTAATTTTTTGTCGCTCAAAATGTGCGTCACAATGTGCGACACCCAACAGCAGTGTTGCCAACTTGGTGGCTTTCTCGCTAAATCTGGCGACTTTCCAAATCCTCTTGGCTACTTTTTTTTCTGTCAAAAGCGACTAGCGACAAATCTAGTGACTATTTCTGGTGTTTTAGAGACTCTGACGTGAAATCGTTCTGCCGTTACTGTCCTCAGTGAGCTCCTCCTGTCCCAAAGCACTCACAGGCGGTCAGGAGTCTGGTCAGCAGTCCCAGCTGCAGACAGCAGGACAACCAGACATTGTTTTTACTTTGCTTCAGATGGATAATTTAAGCTTTTTATTTCATATATATACAAGGAGGAATCAAATAGACATTGAGCATTTTATTTGAAAGTAACCTTCAACCCAGCGTCTTTTTTTTTCTTCTTCAGAGTTCAAAATGTTTTTGTTGCAGAAATAAAATTTTGTTTTCTCCGTAGCAGTTCATTGATTTCATGAATGCAACACACTATAGTTTTTTATACATAGCATAAAGGTAAAAACGATATATGCAGTGTTATCTTCATTTTAGATGTCAAAAGTGTTTTGTGGCTGCCGGTGTTAAGTTTTCCGTGGGAAACGGGTCCAAATGGCTCTTACAGTGTTTAAGGTTGTCAGCCCCTGACTTAGAAAATAAAGTAGAACATTGTGCCACAACATTAAAACCACACAATCTTGTGCAGCTTCGACCAGTCAGATGTCCTGTGGTGCCTTTTTGGCAGCTTGATACAGAAAGAAAAGTGACACAATTGTCATTTTTCATGACAAATCTGCAAGACCAGTCTGTCTGATTTACGGTTTCTTGCAGATGCTGTTTTTTTGTTTAACGATTTCATTCACAAGACACAGCTCTGTCGACACGCAGGCTCCACATGTGCGCAGCGAAATGAGCGAGAAACGCTGAAAAGGAGGATTTGAAAGAAACAGCATCGGCTGCGCGGAGATATTTCGGCTACAGAAAGGATAATGTTGTCCAAAGCAGGTGGTCTATCGAGCAATTTTTGCCACAACATGAGGAAACACATTTTGTTTTAACCGTATAAATCAGCACAACAAAGCCAGATCTGAATGCCATCCAAAGCAAAAAAGAAAAAAAACTGTTTTTGTTGCCTTTGGCAGTGTAATACCATATGAGAAAGGCTTTAAAAGGTTTATTTTTTTTGCAGGATTTTGTGATTGTTTTTTATTTTCTTTGCAGAAGCACTCGCCAAGAATATGACCCCAATTATTCTAGAGTGATTGATTCTGTCCAAATAGAGCTTTTCCAGTCACTTCCATGTATTTTTTCATATTGGAATATATAACTGAGGGAAACAATATATCAGGCTATTTTTCAATATTGTGCAGCCATAGCTTGCTCACTCATGCTTTATTGCTATCTGGTGAGTTTGGAGGCCGAGGCATCATTTGAGGCTCTTGGTCGTGTTCCTCGAGCAGTTTCATTGCCCTGGTGGATGTGGTGGGTGCTGCATGTCAAAGTAACATCCACACAATGCTGAAAAGTTTCCCAGCAAGACATTCCATTTGTATGAGCTGTGTTTCTGTTTGTGTGTGCACATCAAGATTCACACAACACAAGCCAAACAAAAACAAAATAAATAAATCAAAGATCCTTTGAATCGTTTTTTTTGCAGAGGAAAACAGCCTGAACGTCCTTTTAACCACCTGCTGTGAGTTTTGAGGATTTTTTATTTTTTCCACGCATTCAGAAAAAAAACAATCAGCAATTTTTCATAAGCGTTTCCGCAGCACCCTCCTTTTCTTTGAGTTTTGCTGCTAATCAGCACTACATAGCGGTACAATCAAAACATCTTCATAGAGGAATTTAGGCCCCATGCTGTCGCCGCAACGCCGCTGGATTGCTGGAAATATACGCTTCTCGACGCGTCCCACATATACATGCACGCTGTGTGGTTAATTTCTCTGCGCAGTGTTTCGGCCCATCAAGCTCTCTTTGAAGCCCTTTTCAAAATAGAGCTGCTGAGTGGAAACCGCAATGCTCTGAGGAATCACTCCCACACCCCGGACCCGCTGTGGTCACGGAAATACAATTAGGATCCACTAACGAAGTGCTGGGGAGCACGTGAGAGGTTGGACTCTGGTGCTGCTCTGTTGGGCACACAAGACTTTCCTCAGAGCTAATGAAAGTTTGTTTAGATGTATGTTTCACGTCCTCTTGCAATTTCTTCTGGTGTAATGCAGTGGTATTGAAAGCTCCTGTAGGGCCTTCAAAATGACCCTGAAGTTTCTGACACCTTCACTGAGGTAACATTTATTGCACGGTTGTTAAATTAGATGGTGTTGGAACCTTAAGCTGGCAAAGGTGAATGAAATGAGCATAGATTGAGAATCCTCTTGCTAAAGATTGGCATTGGATCCAGGAAGACCTCAAGACCTTCACTTACAAAACAAGTTGTTGAAGCCATCCAGCCATCCATCCATCCATCCATCCATTGTCTATACACCACTTAATCCTCACTAGGGTCATGGGGGGCTGGAATCTATCCCAGCTGACTCAGGGTAAAGGCAGGGAACACCCTGGACAGGTCACCAGTCTATCACAGGGCTACACTTAGAGACAGACAACCAAGCACACTCACATTCACACCTACGGACAATTTAGAATCACCAATTAACCTCAACATGATTTTGGACTGTGTGGGAGGAAGCTGGAGAACCTGGAGAGAACCCACGCTGCACGGGGAGAACATGCAAACTCCACGCAGAAAGATCCCGGGTGTCCTCACCGTGACGCGAACCGGCGACCTTCTTGCTGCGAGGCAACGGTGCTAACCACCGATCCACCTTGCAGCCCTTGTTGATCTTGACACATGAGAGTTTTTATGTCTCCCATCTAGTTGTGACGACGTGTTTATTTTTCCCTCTTTGGCCTCTCTTGTCCTTTACTTCCTCCACTGTTCTTCATTTCGATGTTCACCTTCCTTTTTCCTTCCACCACCATTTATTCCTCCCCCCCTCTCCCTACCTCCCTCCACAGTTGTTTCCTCCTCTCTCTTTGCCTTTCTCAGCGTGCGAGTCAGACTCTTGTCAGATCTTCAAAGCATCACCCCATGCTTTGTTCCCCTGCATCTCCATGCGCTGATGAGCCTTGGATAACGTACACAGCCAACAAACCTTCAAACGTGCCTCGGCTGGCATCTTACACGATGGGTTGATGCGCCGTGTTGTTGTTTGTTAGGTGCTCTTGTTTTTCTGATGCAGGGGGGAAGAGGGAGCCAAGGCAGAGAGAGGTTTGGCTCTTTTATGAAGTGGCCCCTAATTCTGCTCCTTTTGTGGAGGGCTAGAAAGTGTGAGAGATGCTCTCTAATGCTGTCGCGCTGTCTTGCACTCTCTGGCTGTCTCTCATCGTTTCTAGCTTTCTATTCTTTGTTTTCTTTCTGTGTTGCATCTCTTCTGCCGTCCATCCCTCCCTCAACGCTTTCTTCCTTTCTCATGAATGCAAGATGAAAGCAGGATGTCTTTTCTCTGAAGTGGTAATTAATTTTATTAAGATTTATTGCATTTAAACAAAAATAAGCGCATTCCATGGATTAAAAAAAAAAAAAATAGAATCTACAGATAAGACAACTACAAGGAGAATTTGCTTTTTAAATCATTCTTTCAACAACAGTCTCAACAGATGTGATATTCTTCTGTGGAAAAAGGTGCTTTTACCTGATTGTGTGCCAGTTTTCTGAAATTTTCAACCACTCTTCAATGCTTTAGTCCTTCGGTTACAAGATGTTTGAGGGTTTTTTTTTCACATGTTTTACCTGTTTCCAGTTTGAGATGGGATTCAAACTTGACCATAACCCTCCATTTCATCCTTTTGAGTCTTTCCTTAGTGGAATTATTGAGGACTATCCTGTTGAAAGGTCCACTTCTGCTTTCAGACAGATGGTCTCACATTTTCTTCAATCACTGTTGAATCAACTCCTGACGCAGTGAAGCAGCCCCAAACTGTAACACCTCCACCATCATGCCAGTGTGAGGTGGTTCTTCTTCGGCCAAACATGTCTACTGTTACCGTGGCCAAACAACTAAATCATTGATTTGTCTGTCTTCCAAAAGGCCTGCATGCTATCTGGGAAACTGCATTTGTGTTCTTTTTGGACAGCAGAATGCCTCTCATTCAGGTCAAATGTGCGTGACCTCCGTCTGACTGTAGACGCAGCACTTTGACACCAGAGTTACAGGCAGAGGTGAAGTTTTGCATCAGAC